TCCCGCTTTACAAATGTTAAAATCTGGTCACCCAACTGGGCATCTGTTTAGGAAGATCTTGGTCTCTGGTGAATTTATCCAGCAGCTTCAGACTCTAGTGTGCTCTGGCTATCGTCCCCAACCCCTAGGCTACAGACCGTCACCAGTCTGTGGCCTGATCGGAACTGGGCTGCACAGCAGGAGGTCAGCAGTAGGCATGGGAGCAAAGTTTCGTCTGGTTTTACAGCTGTCCCTTATCACTCATATCACAGCCTGAGCTCCGCCTCCTGTTAAATCAGAGGCATAAACCCGCCTGTGAACTGTGTATGTGAGGGATCTAGGTGTGTGCTGCTCACGAGAATCCAGTGCCCCACTCCCACCCCGGTCCATGGAAAAGTTCTCTTTTGTGAAACCGGTACCTTTCAAAACTACCCCACTATGGTAGTGTTAAGAGGTGGGGCCTTTCAGAGGGGATGGGGTCATGAGGCCTCTGACCTCATAAATGGATTAATCTGTCCGTGGATTAATGGCTTGTCCTGGGAGTGGGTTAGTGGCTATAAGTGAAGAAGAGAGACCTGGGCCAGCACACTGGGGGCTCTGACCTTGCAATGTGCTGCACCACCTCTGGGTTCTGCAGAGAGTCCTCACCAGCCAGAAGGCTCTCTCCAGGTATAACCCCTTGGACCTTGGACTTCTCAGCCTCCAGAACTGTAAAAATTAAATTCCTTTTCTTTATAAATTACCCAGTTTTGGCCAGGCCTGGTGGCCCACACCTGTAATCCCAGCGCTCTGGGAGCCCAAGGCAGAGGAGGATCCCTTAAGCTCTCGAGTGTAAGACCAATCTGAACAAGAGTGAGATGCCTATCTCCAATCAAAATAGAAACATTAACCAGGCACCATGGCAGGGAGGTGTTCCCTTTAGTCCCAGCTACTCAGGAGGCTGAGGCAAGAGAATCACTTTGAGCCCAAGCATTTGAGGTTGGTGTGAGCTATGATGCCAAGGCACTCAACCTAGGGTGACAGAGTGAGACTCTTATAAGCAGTTTCAGGTATTCTCTTATAAGCAACAAAAAACAGACTAAGAAAATCAGTCTCAAGAGTGAGGTGCTGCTGCTAACAGCCACCTGAATATATGAAGTTGTTTTGGAACTGGGAACTGGGCAAAAGGTGGAAGAATTTGGGGGAGCAGGCGGGAAAGAGCCTGGATTCTGGGGAGGGCTCTGAAGATGGCTCTAGGGAAAATTTGGAACCCCTTTGAGATGGGTTTAAGTGGTCACAGCCAGAGAGCAGATGAAATTATGAACAGTAAAGGCCCTGCTGACGAAATTTCAGATGAGGAGCAGGGACCTGGAGCCAAGGCTGAGCTTGGTATAAACTGGCCGAGAACTTGGCTGCCCGTGTCTATGCCTGAGGGCTGTGGGGAAGAGTGGGATGAACCAGCATATCTGGTGGGAGAAAGATCCCAGTAGCGAAGCATTTGGGCCCCTACCTGGCTGCTTTTAACCGCTAATGTTAAGCCACAGAGAGGAATAGGAAATTGAAGATGGAGTTTATCATCCGAAGCAAAGCAGAAAGGTCTACAAAGTGTTCAGCCTGGACAGTGAGAAGCCTGCTAGGGAGAGCAATTGCTGAGGAGATGAGCACAGAGAGGACGATGGAGAGAAGGAAGAAGGGCCTTGAGAGCACTTCTGACATCTCAGAGGCTGCCCCTCCCATTGCAAGCCCAGGGCCTAGGAGGGCAGAATAGGTTTGGGGGATGGACCTGGGGTGCCCTCCCATAGGCTTGCTGCTGAGGCCCCTTGGGTCTCTGCTTCTGTACCCCAGGACAACAGTCCTCACTGCCCCTGCTACAGCTCAAGTGGCCCCAGGTGCAGCTCGTGCTGCAACCTGGAAGGTACAAGGTATAAGCCCTGGTGGCATCCTCTCAGTGCTGACTCCACGGGCTTGAGTAGAGCAAGAGCTACAGGAGCTTGGCAGCCTCCACCCAGATTCAGAGGATGTCCTCGGGTGACCTTGGACTGCTCAGTCTCCACAACTATAAGAAGTAAATTCTTAATCTTTATACATTACTGAGTTTCAGGTATTCTGTTATAAGCAACAGAAAATGGACTAAGATGTTGTGATTACCCAAGAAACCAGTTGGGCAACCTTTCCCCAGCAGGGAAGGTCTCACCATTCTGCAGCCCTTGGGTTGGAGGGCCAGTGGCTTGGGGATGGCCTGTCACCTCCAGATGGCCCCACAGCTCTTAGCCAGAGGTGGATGTGTCAGGATAAGGAAGGTGACACAGGGTGATAGAAGCAGCATCAGGTCATTCCCAAGGGGATTGGCACTCTGATCTTGTTTCTGCCATAACTACGTGACTCTGGACTGTCATTGGCACCCTGGGACTTGGTTTTCCCCACCTGGAAAATGGGTACATAGCCTGCTGCTGGCTTTAGAAGTTATAAGAGTAAGATGGATGAGGCATGGCAGGTGAATTTATATTTTTCAAAGGGCCTGTGCTTGAGGTTAACACAGACTTTGTGAACGCCCCAGCCTGGTGACTGATTTTGCAGAAGTATAATTTGTGGCAGATTTCTCTGCAGTGTTGAGTTGGTGGGACAGAGTCATGTGTAGGCTTAGGAAGGTCTTGAGATAACCCTTCCAGAACCTTCTGTCAGCTCTTCAGGAAAACCTTAGGGGCATAAAGCCTATCTGTCTATCTCAGAAGGAGACAGCATTTTTCTAACCCAAGCTCCCCTGCTTCCATCCTCTCCCACCTCCAGGGGTTTACGGCTTCCTGACTTTCGGGACAGAAGTTTCTGCTGACGTCTTGATGTCCTACCCAGGCAATGATGTGGTCATTGTTGTTGCCAGGGTCCTCTTTGCTGTGTCCGTCATAACTGTCTACCCCATCGTGCTCTTCCTGGGGAGGTGAGGCCTGGCTTGCTGGAGGCACAATTCAGTACAGCTTACTAACAGGTGTTGAGAGACAGCACGTGCCTGGGACGCGTCATGGGATTCTGCATCATCTCCCTTCTTTTTTTTTTTTTTTTTTTTTTT